AATTTATTTCAAGGGGAGTTAATCTATTTCAAAATAGATTAACTCCCCAGATAACTTTTTACGCTACAGGAGTTAATTTATTATGGGGGTTAATTTATTTCATGACACCGGCGCGAGAAGGTGTCACGTGTGTGTGTGGGGGGGGGGATCCCATTACAATATTTGACGCCTAAAAAAAAAAAGGTCCTCGCTTTCAAAAATTTGACGACTGCCATGACGACATTTGCCAAAATTACCAACTAACCTATATCGAAAGGGTCGACATTTGCCGACTAACTAGTCAAAAAGAGTCAAACTTGCCCCCCCCCCCCTCCTTATCGCGCCGGCCTTGCCTATACTCGTTAGGGTGTCCCAAAAAAAAAAAAAAAAAAGTTCTCTACTGATTCCCATTCTATGTGACCTAAATAAGTACTAAAAAAAATTTGACGGTTTTATTTTGACAGGAAGTGCTAGATGTAAAATCTGAGTTTTACTGTTTTAATGTTAAGCTGGCTTAACATTAATAGAAAACACATTTTAGAAAATTAAAACAAAACAATTAGATGGGTATAAATCATTTCCAATTGTTTTCTACTATTTAACTTGATAGATTATATTTATAAATATGAAAATACAAAAAAAATACATGAAAACTAATATTTATTAGCAAATTTAAGATTTTATTGCGGTGAAACATTTTTCAAAAAATACAACTTTTTGAACAGTTCCCAAGATCCTTTTTAGTCATAGTCTTAGTCAAGTTTTTTCTAGACTTTTTAACGACAAAAAGTACATTTTGAAGGTGATCTTCATCTCTAGTAGCTGAAATAAAATCTTTAATGAGCTTAATGTTTCTTTCTGCACCATCATTTACAACAGATATGTTTTTGATCCATGCAATAAAATCTAGCAACTGAGAATGGTTAAAAACATCTATAGTATTAAGACTATTATTAAGCCATTCTTTTATACTTACTCTTGATATTTTAAAATGTTTAAAGAGAAGGTAGCTTTGCTCGGAAATCAACTCAGGTAGCTCTGTGGTCTCTCCAATTTGTACATTTGATGGTTTACAACGCTGAAATTCATTTGGCTCTTCAAACTCAATCAGAGCTAACAGCATTCTTAGCTTTGTTTCAGAAGGAACTTCTTTATCCCCAAAGGAAAAAAGTTAAGTACCACGTATGGCGTCCCATGCTGAGAAGCAAAGCATTTCCAATATTCTTACTAATTTTTCTCAATGCATAGGCTGTCTGGATAGCTTTCAAATCATTGTAGGGAGCCAGAAATCCTAAAAAACTTTTTAAAAATTGCAATGAACAAACTTGCATCCTTCAACTGCAGCATTTCTTTTTCTGTCAAGATATTAGTGATATCTTTAGTCATATAAAGAGTCAGGATGTAGATCGCATCTGCTAAAAACCCATCGTCGCAGGCGCCAGGTTGATGGAACTTAAAATCTTGTACTTCCACTCCAAGGAAGAAGGAGGCAAGCTTACAAACTATACCATAATCATTCCTTGAAAACACTATATCAGTAGTTGCATTAGTCAAAAATGTCTTAGCTTCCTCTGCAACAGTGCGAAGAACAGAGCCAATCTTCAGATCATCTCTTTGCCAGTCCAATTTACATAAATTTTTCACTTCATTCACTTTCTCACAGATTTCAGGCCACTTGTTCTTTAGCTTGACATAAAGAGCTCTTCTTGGACCTTTAGTTTTCTCACCAGTAAGGGCAGCCATATAGTGAGATACATGTACTTCATATATGTGTCTCCTACACATTATCCACAAATTTGGTAATTTCAAAATATTTTTAAGAATTTGGACTGCTCCATTTACTCCGCCTGTATTGCTTGCAGTTGTATCACAGCATATACAATGATCTGCTCTTTACACCCGTAATATTCTAAAAAATTGTGCACTTGTTCTGCTTGGTCAACTCCCTTTGAAGAGGGACATTGAACAACACCTAAAAGATGGTCTTCCATGGTATCGTCATCCGGGGAACTCACTGAGACTGCAAGTCGCTCAATTTTTTGAATAATATTAAGCCCAGTGGTAATTTGTTCCAACAGTTTGGTATCAAAATGAAAAATAAGCCGTCGGCCTTTAAGATGATTAGATATTGAAATCCACTCCGAGTCTCCTTCAAGTTCTACATATTTGAACTTTTTTCTATAAAGTGTGCTTCGTGAAAGCGGTATATCATTAATTTCTATACCTCCAGCTTTAAATACTTCACTTAAAATTGCCAGATGAGGTCGTACACCAACATTGAACCTTGTTGCTGGAATAGCAGTACATTCAATGAGCTTTTCAACATTCACTGCTAGATTAATCCTATCTCCAGAATTGTACCTAGGTATCATTTTATAATATTTTTCTACCTATTTATAATTATATACTTTTCAATAAAACAGCTTTAGCTTGTGAAAATTACAACTATGTTGTTAAAATAATACTATACCTGCGTTTCCGACCGTTACCCAGGAAATCATCTTCCTCGCTGATTTCAGAGTCCTCGTTTGACTTTTCTTCCTCACTGCTGAATTGAATCTCTTCTGTCATGGAGTCATGTGACAACAAAACATCATTGATATCTTTTAAGTTTTTCTGTCTCGCTAATTCTTTCTCTCTCAACTTATCTAGCTTGTTCTTTCTCCTGTTTGCATCCAGTACTCTTCTACTGTAGTCTTCATCGACTTTTGTTTCCATATATCCTTTCCTATGTAACTTCTGGTCTTCATAAAAACTAAGAAATATTTAAATCTATTAAGCCATTTATAAATAAATTAATAATTGTTCTAGTTTTTCTTGGAAGATGACCAAACCATGTAAAGAGTTAAACGTAAATATTTTAAAGGAAATAATATGCTATTACTACTAGTTACTTTTAATTGGAAAAAAAATCTCACTACTAAAAAAAGTATTATTTAATGAAATCTGTTCTCAATCTATCAGCAAGAATACTTTTTTTAAAATTCTTAGTCGAGATGTCAAAAAGCTGATAGGATTCTGTGAGAAAATCTTTCTCTAACTTTGATTGTTTATCAAGACTGCTGTTCCAGTTTAGAGAAGACAATTTAATCAATTTCTTGTATTTTAAATTAGGTTTGATGATTTTGGTCTTTATATTGTACCCACAAATCACAAATTTCTTGCCAAACCCAGCATTATCCCAAATTTTTTTAATCCTAGATACCAAGCAAGAATTATCAGGATCTGTACAAACACCATTTTCACAAACAAGATCCTTGGATTTCGATTTCAATTTGCAACCAACATTAGTAGAAGTGGGTTTGTATTTAACTTGCGACTCGCGAAGAATAAATTGATAGTATCTAAGAATATCACCATTAGATGGAAGCTGTCTCTGAGGTAACTCCCTCAGTGGGTACTTCAATAGGTAAATATACCTCAACCTTTCTGTATTTTTCCGTTTTTTCTTATTCTGTCCTATCATCTTCTTTTTTTTTAAGCTGTTCTACCCATCTTTATATGAATTTCAAAATAATCAGTTTTTTAACTAAATTTTTACTAAATGTTACACTTGCATCAAAAATCTATGAAGTCGTTATTCCCTCTCGTATAATATTTTATCTAAGTTTACCGTTACGGCTTTTATAACCGTTTACACGAGAATTTCTTCGTGCACAAATTAGAATTCCGTCGTGCACAAATAATTCCATTTAGAAATTTTTTCCTTCGAAAAAAATTTCTAAATGGAGTTATTTGTGAACCAATCTATGGGAAATTATACCAACTAATAATATTGTCCAGAGGGAAAAATATCTATCGCTAACAATGTTCATAGGAAACGATCCTATTCTTTAATAATATCCTATGGGAATTATTTGTGTACTAACTATTACATCATATTAAAACATATTGAAATACTAGATAGCGCTGTTTTTTAGTAAATACACATGTGTACAAAACCGTAAAACTCAGAATTTACATCTATCACTTCTAGTCATTAAAAAGTTTTTGTTAGCTATTTAGGACCTATAGAATGGGGATCAGTTGAGGGCACATTAAAATTTTTAAAAAAGTGTGTTTTTGGGACACCCTAACCTTTATAGCGAACCTAAGCGGCAAGTTTATTTCAATTATTACCCATCCATCGTACTCACAGAGCTTCGTTTCTTATTACTTTCGGTTTTTTTTTATAAATCAAGCCTGCTTGATTTAAAAAAATTATTTTTTAAATTAATTATTAAATACAGCCTGCTTAATTGACTTATTAAACAACTATATAGCTGTTAAAAACTTATAAAAAGTTCAAAGGTACCTGGTGTTAACTGGGGAAAATTTTTTTGAGCTAAATAAGTTCTTCAGTTTAAAAAATCAAGGTAAAATAATAGCGTAAAAAGGCGTAAAACTAAAAATTGATACACTAAATTTAATTGGTATTTTTTTCGACTTAAAGTTGTAATAAGTTTTCTTTTTAAAAGGATTAGGTACGAAAGATAATCCGTAGCAAAAAAATACATAAAAAATACGAGAGAAAATTGCAATAAATAAAAACCATGAAAATAACATTTACAAGCCAACCTAAAATACTACAATAATAAATAACTCATAAATACTGATTTTTAATCTTTTAAAAAAATATTTTAACTTTAAATAAATTTTCCAACAGTTTTTTTATTCATGTTGATAACCATTATATAAAAAAAAAAAAAAAAAAAGGAAAAAAGGAAAAAAAAACGTTTTTTAAATTAAGTGATCAATTGATTTTTTTTTATAATCAAAAATCATGAAAAAAAATTCAGCAACTTATTATCATTATTTTTTTAATAGTTTACTATCCGCATTCACATTGTTTATTTTTTACAATTTTAAATTTCTTGTTTATTTCTTACACATTATTTTTCTTATTTATATACACAGGACATATTAGATTTATGATTTAAAAAATTAATTGTTTAGAAAAAACAAATTTGGTACAGAGAGAAAGTTATAGAAAAAATACAAAACTAAAAAAAAAAAGGTACCAAAAAATTTTGAATTTTCTATTAAAAAGTTTTAAAAAACATGGATAATATGACAGAAATTGAGATTTATTCAAGCAACGACCAATCGAATTCTTCATCGTCGTCGTCAATGGGAAAATTATGTCTATAAGAGTATATTTTGGGTTTCGAAAAATCTGTAGAAGGTTGAGGGTGAATGAATTTCAGTCTCGTATTATCTGGCATATCATTAGAATTACGTTGTATTAAGTTTTCGTTAATGTTTCCAAAGTTTGTTAAACTGACATCAGGAGTTTGCAATGAATTCATAAAAACAGCAGGTTGCAGAACATCATTTTTATGTAAAGATGAAGTTTGAGGAAAGCTTGGATTACACGTAATATTACTTGCATAAACAGTGGAACCAGAATTTAAAGGAGATGGACTAGCATATGATCTGTGCGGACTTAAAGGTTTAGAATACTGTGAAAGTTGTGTAGAACAAAGTTGTGGCTGTTGATTGTATGAAGTTTGATGAGGTGAATGTGATCTTTGGTATGGACTATGGCGTGAGTTTAATACATCATTGTCAACTGCATGAGAAAAATGTGCAGATTGTGGCAGACTATGTTGTATATTGCTATTACCACTTTCAAATGCACCTTGAAATTTAAGATAACTGGAGTAAGAAAATTCTAGTTGATCAATATCATGCTGGTCTAATCCTGGAACACCTTGGAGGCTGTCAATCAAACCATAAAATTGATCAGGCATTATATTATTCCAATTACCAGAATTCATACTTGACATCAGTGTTTCCATAGTTTCCAAAATATCTTTATCAGTCATATTACAAGTTGAATGAGGTACAATTGTTGGTTGAAGAGAGTTTGAAGATTGCAGATCAGCGGAGAAGGCAGATAAATGGCTTCCTAAAGTTCAAATTTAAAATATAAAAAACTAAAATTTTAAAACTAATAAAAAAGTAAACTGTTGTAAAGTAAAAAAAAATACCATTTGAAGAAACTGTAAGAGATGGATTTGTTGACACATTTTGGCGAACTCGGTTATTATAATTATTTGTTTGATTAAAAACAGATTTGTATAAACTCTTAAATGAAGCTGATAAATCATCAAGATTAAAATGTTCAGCAAAATCTCGATTATCAAGAGGGCAATTTCGCTTTTGTTCAACAACAATACCATCAGTATTACTTAAACAAATCTCAGGAGGATTTGAAGTATAGTTGCTATGAGGCGAAAAAGAACCAACACATGTTTCTGTTGACGGACTCTGAATAGATGGTGAAGAAATATTAGACAATGGAGATCTCGGTTGAGGAGAAACAGATTGAGGAGACTTTATTGGTGCACATTGATTAGGAGAACAAGATTCTTTACGATAAGGTGAACACTTCTACAAAAAAAAAAGAGAAAATAAAAAAATTTAACTATTAAAAAAGAAACAAAAAAATTTTTAAACAATTTTTAATAATAAAGTACCCTTTCCCTTTCATGTTTTTTTGGGAGTCTTTGCTGTCTACCGTTATAAAATTCTTCTGGTTGCGGATTAGGATCAATTGCCCAATAAGATCCCTAAAATAAAATAAAAAAAATTTATGTAGATAGAATTCTAGATATGTCTAATAAATGAAAAGCAATGGGATAATTTGAAATGTTTAAAATGAAGATACAAAGGAATGAGTTGTGTTAAATTAAAAAATTAAAATTTAAAATTATTTTTAAACTAGAGTAAAATGGGGTCAAATGAAAAAATTTATTTATTTTTACAAAAAAAAAGTAGGGTTCGCACTGTCGGCGCAGATCTGCGCAGACATTGTAATTTGTCTGCGCAGACGTCGGCGCCGACAAAATTATTATTACTGCTAAAATATACTAATGTTCGTCTCTCGGCGCAGATCTGCGCAGATATTATTACTGATGATTTATTGAAATCAACAAAAAAAGTTTTAAACTTAAAAAATGTTTTAAGTAATCTTTTAACTTTACTATAAATTCAGTGATTAGTAACAATAGGAGTTTTCAAAGATTCTTACAGTAATAAAAATATATAATGCTGGCGCCTATTCGGTGATTTCTTGACATTCAATTTCATTGAGAATTGCACCTTCTTCAAGAATGTAATCAGTCTTGTCATTTGTGTCCATCAGCACCCTATTGGCATACAAAAATACTAGCTTTTCAACTCTCTCATTCGTAAGACGATTTCTTAGTCGCGAGTGAATAAATCAAAAGGTCGACCAAGCTCTTTCTGCTGTAGCCGATGAGCAGATCATTTCGTCAATAGGCTTAGCAATTTCATAAAGAGCAGGATATTTATCGCGACCAATAATGTTCCAATAATTTCGCGAGTTTATCTTGAATATTGTTTCCTTTCTTCTCTCAGGCAGCACAGAAATTTCTCCTATATAAGCAATCAATTCATCCTCAGCAGTGGCAGCAATTTCAGGTTTGATCTTTTTGGCGAATTCAACTGTATTTCGAAAGCGAATTCAAATATAAACCTTCTGCGGCATTTTTGGGCATTAATATGAAAGCAATTCCAATACATGGTGTAAAGAGAAAATCGAAAATGTCTTTATCGTCCATATATGAATGGTACATTTGACCAAAGTAATCATACGTGAAAGACAATGGAGCTGTATCACTTTCTAGCTTTCCGATCACGTTGGAAGGAAATTCAATGCTTTTGACAAGCTTAGAGAGATGGTCCCAAAATGGGTTAGATTTTATCAACGCCATAACAGCAGCAGATGTATTCTTTGGTTGAATTTCCTTCAGTAATGGACTTTCTTCGTCTACCAACTTAATAAGAACGTATTTTGATAGCTGGAGACTGCTCTTTGATTTATAATAACTAAACCATCGTGTAGATACAGGCATGGACAATGAAAAAGAAATATTTGCTGCAATTCGTCTTTCATCAAACTTTGCTTTCACGATGTGATGATTTTTCATATATTTGATGATTTTCTCTGCATCTTTGACTGTTTTTGTGGCCTCAATTGTAGAAACTTTGTCTTTTTTTTGTCCTTCACAAGCAAGTTGACTCCATGAGCTCCGCATCCGCTAGCCGAGATGTGTGGATATTTCTCTTCGATGATCCTCCACACTGATTTCATTACAGGAGCGTTGTCGCTTATGAAACTGGTAAATTTTTGTGAGCCAATCTTCTCAATAACTTGTAAGATTGCTGCAGCAACTGCAGATGAATTTTGAATGATTTCGGAAAATTCACTATTTGATCGCCTCTTATGTTCGTCCAGCCGTCAGCCATCAGTGTTAAGTTTGTTTCAGAATTCAAAATTTCATTTACATAAATAGAACATTTTGTGTATTGTTTATTGAGCAGAGATCCTAATAAGGCTTTAACTTTCAGGATGACAGATGCGTACGATGGATTGAGCAACTTCACAAAATCCTTAAAGACCTCCGATTCCACTAAACGAAATGATATACCCGTACGGTAAAAGAAATTTGCAAGCTTCGTGTCAATATCATTTTTGAGCTCTTCATTAATCGGTGGATGTACACACTGCATTGGTGAATCAGACATAGACGGAAGTTGCTGAGAGTCATTGATCAGATGTGACGATTCATAATTACGCTTAGAAAACAATCTTTTTTCCTCGATTCTGGCGTTTTGACATGTTGATCTTTTATGCGCTGCAAGGTGTTCCTTCGACCATTGAACAGTTTTGTTACATGCTAAACAAGTGCCAGAACGCTTCCCTCGATCAAGATTTGCCAAATAATTCAAAGTTTTGATGTTTTCCATTTTAAACATTTGTTATGACAAAAATACGCAATTTCTTTATTTTAAATCACTTTAAATTGTAGTAAGAAACACTTTAAAAAGTTTATATCGATTGATTATATGTAGCTCGAACGAAAAAGAAACAGACAAGTAATGAAAAACTCGTAAAAAGTAGATAATTACCTACTTTTTACGAGTTTTTCAAAATGCCTGAAATCATTTTATTAAATATTGTCTGAAATTAAATTTTAAAAAATAATTAATTTCAGGCATTTGATTCAGATAATTAAATTATCTGAATCAAATGTCTGAAGTAACTTTTTTATCATAATTTAAATTTTTTGTATCCTTTAAACTGTCTTCGCAGACATCGGCGCCGACGTCGGCACAGATATGTGCATATTATGTCTGCGCAGATCTGCGCAGATGCATTTGCCGAACCCTAAAAAAAGATTTAAAAAAAAAAACTTAGAATACAAGACCTTTGCCTGCATAAATGCTGAGATGTTAGTGTTAAGTAATTTAAATCAATCAGTATACACTGAAATCGGTATTTCTTTTTTCATTATTGTTTTTATATATCACATCTATTCTATTTCAGGTAACAAATATTAAAGTATTCATTTGGTTCGGTTGGTGTTTCTGTTTTAAGGGCACAATGTGTTATACATCAGAAGTTGTTTTGATTTTTTTTTAACCTAAGACTTAAATTTCCTTTTTCATTATATTTATTGGGTTTTTTCAGTAATTTTAAAAGTCTAATACATTTTATCTATAATTTCAAGGTTTTAACTCATAGCATGAAAGCTGAAAGATAGACTTATGCTTCCATGAATGCTAATTTTTAACAAATAAACATTATATCGGGATGATTTTACTTAAAGATTAGATTATGCAGTAACAGTTACATATTTATTTTCCAGGACATATGGCTTTTCTATTTAAAATGATTGTGTTATGGTAATATGTATTTATTCAGAGATCCATTTTTTTTTTAAATAGATATCATTGCACTACGTTAACTGTTGCAGAAGAATCAACTTTTTCAAACTTTGGATGTGCTATTTTTATTTTAAAACTAGGCTATTTTTATAGCCACTAATATGTTAAAAACATTACTAAGCAAATGGGAATACTTCACTTAGTTTTAATTTTTTATTTACGAAGTATATCTTAAAAGAAGTAACCTTTTCTTTTTTGACGGGAGTGAGTCTTAATCAATTTAAATTAAGGTGCTATACAAAGACTAAAACGCTTTTTCTAATACATGTCTATATTTCTTTCTGAATACTAAAATTAAATGTTACCGCTTATTATATGGTAAAATAATTAAAAACTTTTTATTAAAGTTCTTTTATTATTGGTTCCGAATAGAAAAGTCGTGTGACTTGTATAATAATAGCACGCTGATGGAAAACTTGTTTTCCCCAAAAACTACTGCTATTACTTAAGTCACTTGGTTTTCCAACTTGATCCATAAGCTATTAACATTGCAAAAAATAAGTAGAAATATAGAGACTATTAAATTTTTTAATCTTTATATATAAGAGTTTTAATTTATCGAAAGCTATATACTTCTATAATAACACAGCAAGTAGAATACACCTTTTAATACAAAAGCCTATATTTGTAAAATAATGTTTATAATAAATAGCGCCTTTTGTAATGTATATAATAATTTATAAATTTTTATTATAAAATTTTTCATTAAAAATAATTTTTTTATTTAAATAAACAATATTAATTATTTTTTGTTAAAGTTTAATTAGAATTTAAACAAAACAAAATAATGCAATTTAACAATAAAAGTTATTACAAAAGTACTGTTAACCAGATGCAAATTTCTCATGTTGGTTGCATTTTTCTTGAGCAATCCTTATAATGAAATTTTGTTACTTAAATAGGCGTAACTTTTTGTAGAAATATTCGTTTTTTATGAAATTTTCACCATTGTAACACTAATTTAAAGGTCTTTCTAATGCTATATAATAAATATATATTAAAAAATAATTTGAAATTTTTCAACACATATCTAGATTATTTAAGTAAACAAAAAAAAGTCAAAGATGTCATATACTTGAACTCTTTGGAATAAAATGCGCTTGAATAAATTATCAAGTCTGAAAATTTCAACATATATTATGCTGACTTTTAGGCCTAAATTAAAACAGACAAGGCAAGCTTTGACTAAAGTAAAAAAGTTAGTTTTTCTTGGTATTCATTTATTCTTTTGTTTTAGCCCAATCATTTTTTTAAAATCATTCTCTTTAATATGAACACAACATGTCTTGGAGGTTTGGGATCCTTTTAAGGTTTTTTTAAATATGAAGAATATAATAATCCCTAAGCTCTTATATATACTGTGTATATATTGGAACTTAGGGATCTCTTTTATGAAAACTTTTAATAAAACATGTGTCTTTATGAAAACTGTATACTTATTTCTACTGAAACTAAAAAATGTATGTCTAGGAAAAAAGTTGTGGTTAGTTTAGGAATCAGGAGCCTCATATCACTGCAAAGATGAGTTTCCACTCATCTGTTTTTCTACGGGAACAGGATAGGAAAGGGAAAAATAATCACATGAGCATGCGCAGTTTTACTTCGGACAAATTAAAACTTATAATACGCATGCCCAGGTGATTATTTTTCCCTTCCATTTCCCATTTCCGTGAAAAAACGAATGAGTGGAAACTCACCTTAATACAACATTTATATGTAGTACAAAATATTTTGCTGTAGTGTTTATATAAAAATTATCCTAGATTAATCAAACTATTCAAGATTGATCAAAATATTGTTTTCAACTCCTCAACGCTAAGGGGAACCACAACCAACTACTTTTTTTTTAACTTTAATATTATTTTATTTTTTCTTAGTTGTTATATATTTGGTAATGATATACAAAGTTGGAGTAGAATATATGCATTTGAGTGAAAAATTGCAAGTTTAACCCCCACCAAATCCTTTGCAGCACTTGTTTTTGATAAACTTGTTTGTCAAGTTTTAAAGATTATAAGATTGAGAGACAAAAATAAACAAAATATAAATATTTTTGCTATAAATTGGTGTTAAAATTTCAATAGGCATCAAGAAGTATTAAAGGCAGGGTTTCTTGCACGGTTAGCCTTAACTAAATTCAGGTTTTTTGAATTGTGTCCAAGTTAAGGTTGATGGTTTCTGAAAGAGTATAGTTTACTTATCACTATGTATATAGTCCAACAAATCAACAATCCTTCTATTAATTATGGCATTTTAAAGATTTCTTTGCACCTTTTTTTAGTGCCCTTTTTTGCAAATATTTTGCGCCATTTTTTGCTCCGCCATGTTTTCACTTAAAATTTTGTCAACTTCAGTTAAAAGTTTTAGACAATTTATTGGCAATGAATAATACAGATAGTATTTTGTTTTATTTACATTGTTAGAGTGGATAATCACATGTTTTAAATCATCAAATGAATATATATCAAATGAACATATACTTACAAAAATAAAATTAAAAATAAATTATTCATTATCTGAATTACTAAAAAATATCAACATTACCAAGAGAAACAAGATGTTTTCTATTATAAAACTAAATAACTTCCATATTTAAAATTATCATGTACACCTTGTAATGATTCCAAGAGGCAGCGTTGAAGAGGTAGTAAACACTTTTTCCTGATTGTTCTGAATAAAATAATGCGGTAGTGGTGTAGTGGTAAAACACTCACTTCATAAGCAAGAGGTTCCAAGTTCGATCCCCACCACGTCCCTGTTAGTACCGCGCTCAACTTGTTTCTCTGCGCAACAGCCTTGTTCCTCAAGGTTCGTGTTTTGGAGTTACAGAGTTGAGAGAGGGTTATAACCACTATTAAGTAGCCTCCTTGTATGTAGGGGCCTTCTCGGCCTTGAGGAGGTGAATAACAAAAAAAAAAAAAAAAAAAAAAAAAAAAAAAAAAAAAAACTCCTAGGCCCATTTTTTTTGTATTACAGAACTCAGATGATGATTGAACATGAAATTTTGGTGTTAAAATAATATCGCGTTCCAACATCAACTTTTTAAAGCAGGCCTTTAAATTTTTGATATTAGTTTGAAAGCTTTTACTAAGTCCAGATCCAAAGTAAGACTCAACAACTAAATTTAACAACCTTAAGCTTAATTATATTGATAAAGTATATCTCTTAAAAAAGTTTAATTTGCAGCTTATCATTTAACACTACTTTTATTTAAGAAAAATTTGCAAAAAATTTCCCACCATGCTGACCAGTCTTAATAATTTGCAACTGTTCATAAATCTCATTCATATTCATTTATAACTTAATCTGCTTTATGTTATCAATTACATGTTCCCTCCATTATATGAAGCTCCGGTAAAACAAATCTATGAGAAATTCAGATGCTGTGCAGACTCAAAACTTTTGAAACAGATTTTTTGAATTTTTTGTAGTTTTCTTGACAGCTCTCAAATGTTCTACATGGAGCATTTGTCCAGGTTTCTCTTCTATCCCACTCAAATACATAACAGGAATGAATTGAACTGCTACTTGGAGATACCCCTGTCAGAATTTGACTAAGTTTTATGTCACATACCCTTATGCTCAATTTTTTTTTATGATTTAGCTTTTCAAAGTCTATTTAATGTTAAAATTACTTTCCGGGATCTCTGGAGCTACGAGAAGAAGAAATGAAGCATTTACTGATAAATCTTTGAATTTTTTTATTAGATTATCTTTATATGATGATCTGCAAGCTGTTGTGGGTTTTGTTTTAAGATAATTTACTTCAACTTTTCTGTAATTTTCAAAAATTTCATTGAGATCAATTATGTTTAAACAAAATTTAAAAAAACAGCAATTTTCAACAACTGATTTATAGAATCTACACATTTAAGATCCAGGAATAGTTTAACAAAAAGAGTTACCTCATTGCAGTACGCAACTGTAATATTCTTATATTCCATTTACCTTTGTTTTTAAATTTAAATAAAACATTTATTTCGGTAAAGAGTGGGAGAAGATAACTATTTAAATCAGAGACAGTCTTTCAGTCCAGGTTCTACAGCTTTTCATCTCAACAACTCTGTAATTGTAACTGTAATTATTAATTGTTTTTGGTACAAAAATTTCATCGTTTCATTGAGCAGAATTAGATTTGTATTAGTATTATGATTTTACCTTATCATATTAACAAGTTTTATCATTTGATAATTACTTAAGGAAAGAGAATTCTGAATACAAAGAAGATTTTTGTATGTAAAATTGGCTGTTTTTGTAGTATTCCAAGATCCAATAGATAATTTTAGTTTACTCATCCAGTCTTCAACGAAACGGTGCCACCACTTTCACTACATAACTTTTCTTTAAAAACGTGAAAAGCCATTTGTTCCTTGACATCTAAATAAGTTACAAGACTACGGAGACTGATGAAAAAACATTTTCGACAACTTTGCATTGTTAAAAAGGTTACAGGTTCAAAAGGTTACAAAGGATTTTTTAAATTAAAATCATCATTTTAAGATGTCTATAGATATTTATTTAGTTAAAAATCAATAAGTATACCAACCTTAAACACAACCCAGTAAATATCGGTTATCAGCAATGTTATAATCTGAAAAACAGCTTTGAAATTTAGAAATAATGTGGCTTTGGCTACTCATTTTCATCTGACATCACAGAAAAGGCATACTTTTTCTCAGTTCTTTTGATGATTTATGATAAAATAGTCTGAAGATGGAATTTTCTGATGCTCAACATTTTTAAAAACAAAATTTGTTCTATGATTGTGCTTTAGGATTAAATCTGTGACAGAAAACATGGCGGATTAAAGATGGTTGTAAAAGTTTAAAAAAGCGCGAAGAAATTTTAAAACTGCTGTAATTACTTAATAAGAGTTTTTTATTTTGTTAGACAATACACATAGTGATAAGTAAACTATATTCTTTCATAAACCATCAACCTTGACTCGAACACAACTCAAAAAAAAAAAAAACTTAATTAAGGCTAATAGTGCTCTCATTAAAGATAGGCCCTCAATTTTAATGGTATTGATAGAAACAGTTCTGAATTATTTTATGCAAACGGAAGGAGTGCATGTTAAAAAATATATAAAGAAATTAGAGAATGGGTCAGACAAATTACTTTTTTCAGGTATGGTTTAAAATATCCGAATAGACCAAATACAAATATTCATTGATATTTAACAACTTACAAAATACTTAAAAATTTGTGTACATTTTTTTTTCCTAGTTTAACTTTTTTTGAATTGCTCCCAAAAAAGTACAAATCGGATATTTTTGTAAGTTTTTCACAAGTTTTTCTGAGGAAAAAATGATTTGGTCTATATATAACAAACATAAGAAATATTAAAAAAAAATTAAACCACATTTTAAAGTTTTACCTTCCCGGGATCTTCCTTAGTTCTGGGTACTTTTTGAAAACATCGGTTTAAAGAAAGATTATGACGTATTGAATTCTAAACAAAATATTTGTCATAAATTAAAATTAAAAACAAAAACAAATTACAAAACAATAAAAACATAAGACTTTTGAAAATAATATTTATAATTAAGTTGAAACTACAACATTAAGGTAAATTTTATTTAAACTTAAATGTTTTCTCAATAGCTCAAATTAAAATTATCAACTATTAATATAATGAAAACCAAATATATATATATATATATATATATATATATATATATATATATATATATATATATATATATATATATATATATATATATATATATATACTCACTTCCTATTTTCTGTTGGTTTTTTAAAATTACTTTGTTTAAAGTTAAAAAAAAAAGTTTGCTTTTCCGGATTTTATTTTAACTAGCTTGTTAAGAATTTAAATAACAAGTTCTTCATTCCGTTTACATAAAATTTTTGTTTTGCCGATTTTTAAAATTATTTTATTTAGAATAAAACGTTCCTTTGCCGTATTTAATTTATTTGAAATAGCAAATAAAATAAATAAGTTTTAAAATTCTGAGGTTGGCAAAAAATTCCAGACGCCACACACTGTCAGATTGGTAGTTTTGTATACATCCCTTGGAATTATGGCAACCTATGAGACACTGTTAGGTTGCCATAATTCCAAGGGATGAATACAAAAAATATATTAATACATATTTTATATACAGCATATATTAAAAGCTACTAAAGGCTATTAAATGTTTAATAAATGCTTTAAAAAAGAATTTCTATTTGTAATGGTATTTTGTTTGTACCTCTTTAGTAGTGGCTATACAATTCTTTCTGTTATCTCATTCATTTTTTTACTCCAAAGAACCCTCTTGCAAAACTCATCAGATCTACTTGATCTGAATGGATACTTGATCCGTAAAAGATTAATATGTCAGTCCAACAACATCTGTGGAGTGGTACAAGATATCTGTACACTTTTGTCCAAAATCTATATTTTTCTTTTACTCTATAACTTCTGTCCAATATCATCTGAAAATTCAACGAATCCTAATAACATCTTCAGAAAGATGTAACTACATCTCCAAGTCTAATAACATCTAGAAGAATTTTCTCCAGATGTAGTTACATCTGAAAAAACTTCTATATGTAACTACATCTGGTTAAAATAATGCATTATTAGTTAATATTTTTTTCCAGATGTAATACATTTGGAAAAAAATATAATGCAACTACATCTGGTTAAAATAATGTATTATTAGTTAATTTATCTTAAAATCTACAGATGTAGTTTCACAGATGTTATTACACTTTGATAATTTAAAAGATGTAACTACATCTGTAATATTTATTTAATTTTTGTACAGATGTAATATTAATGTATAAATTGTCACATTAAATCTGTATAAATTTTGTACAGATACCAATGAAATTTCAGATGCTGTTGGACAGATGTTATAAGACGTCAATGAAATTTTAGATGTTATTAGAAATGACTAAAACTGATGTTGTTACCCAGACCCACTTGATCTACTTGATTTGATGAAATAAGATTTTAGTATTCAGTTACTGCTGGTTTAACAAAATCAGCAATAAATGGATACATAGAACTTAAATTTAAAAGTAAAAAATAACTGATGTTACATAATTTTTTTACTTTTAAATTTAAGTTCTATATTTAATTTAAACTATAACTAACTACTACTGCTTACTGCTAAGGATATAAATATTTTAAAAAACTGAAAGTAAAAGCTTGAGTGGGAATTACATGATAAATATAGACTAGTAACAAAAACTATGAAACACATGATACAAATAAAAGTTCTAAAAACTTGAAACTTGGTACAGTTAAAATAAAAAAATTGCTAATAAAGATAATTAAATTTTTACCTGGAATAGTTGATTTCTGAAGTTAAAAAAAAAAGTTAAAAAAAAAAGTTAAAAGAAACAAAAAGAAATGTAAAAAAATGAATTCATTTGAATTTTATAAATTTAATGCTTCTACATGTATATGCCATTACTAGATAGAAGAATAAGATAAAGAAAACTAGATTGAAGACATGTCTTCAATTTAGTTTTCTTTATCTTAAAAAAAATTTCAATACATTGATATTACGTTGGTACATAAAGATTTTGTAGTTTAAAAGAACATTTAAAGCTTCTAGCCATCAGACTGACACCTGCCTGTCCAGTCAGAAAGGGTGTGATAGCAAGGGGAAGTAAAAAACAACAAAGACTCTTCTACAGCTTGTGGTCCTGACAACATACCTGTTAGAGTCTTGTAGAAGTGTTCTCCGGAGCTGTCGTCTATACTTTCAAAATTATATAACAAGTGCTTATCAGAGTCTTGTTTTCCAGCCTGCTGGAAAGCGGCATCTGTTAACCCTATTTTCAAAAAATCTGGAGAGCAATCTTGTCTAACTACAGTTCTACTTCTTCCTATCATAAGTTTTTGAGTCTTTAATTAACAAAAACTCTCTCATCTTCAATCTAATAACTTACTTTCTGGTCATCAATATGGATTTTAACTTCTCGCCCTACTGCTGTTTTGTTAATGATAATAACCAATAGGTTTTATGGGGCATTACATAGATGTGGAGAGATTAAGGCTATCAGTCTGGAAATTTCTAACTTCAGGTGTTCCTCAAGGTTCTATCCTTGGCCTTATACTTTTTTAAACTTACATTAAGGATCTCCCAGAACTTCTCTCATCTAAGGTGGCATTGTTTGCTGATGATACTACCATTTATTCTTGTCTTGATAAGAAGCCAACACTCTCTGATTGCTTGGTGGGGGCATTTGAGCTTGAAAAGGATCTCACTTCTGCAAAAGCATGGGGCTCCCAGTAGCTGGTGAATTTTAACTCAGATAAAACTCAATTTTTTTCAGCTAATCCTTATTGCAATAATCTAGATCTTCCTATATTTATGAACAGTAATGTACTCGATTAGACATCTACCCGCCATCTTCTAGGATTAATTTTTACTTCCGATCTTTCTTGGAAGCCATAAATCAAATCCATTGCAAAATTTGCATCTGCTAAGGTTGCATCTCTTTATTGTGCTCGTCACTTTCTCCAAATTCTATTCTTTATCTCTATAAATTTCAAACTAATCCTTGTATGGAATAATGTTGCCATATTTGGGGTGGATCTTCCAATGATGCCCTTTCTCTTTTAGACAAGGTGCTAATACGCATTGTAAACATAGTAGGGCCTGCTCTTGCAGTCAACCTCTAATCATTATCACATGTTGCTTCTCTTTCTCTTTTCTATAAATACTACAATGGGCACTGCTATAAAGAGCTAGCGTTTCTTGTGTCATCTACTAAAATTCATTCTCATGTTACTCGTCATTCAATTAAGTCTCACCCTTTTACTGTGACTGTTCTTAAGTGCTCCGAAATTCTTATTTATCTAGTTTTTTCCTTGAACATCACTTCTTTGGAATTTGCTTTTTACTTTCATGATTTATATAATTTGCAATCTTTCAAGTCATCTGTCAATTGTATCTTGCTTATCGAGACATTTTTTAAACTACAGCTAAATAAATAAAGGCAATTAAAAAATTACCTAAATTAACAAAAACAATGTAGAAATGCAATTATGGAATATTTAGTTTCTCTAAATTTTTTTTATATTAAATAATTAATTTTAATATTATTTATTTTTAAATGTTTGTAAAAAAATATAAACAAATTATTTTCTTTTTTCGAGATTTGTATAAATATTAAATTTTTTTAGTTATTATTTCTTAAAATTTCCAATTGCGGTTTAGCAATGAAAGATGATTTTTTATTTTTGAAAATTTAGTGAATAACAAATAAAGATAACTTAAATTGTAAAATTAATTGTAAAAATAAAAATTCTAATTAATTACTTTACCAGCAATTTTATTATGAAAGCAAAGATTTCTTTTAGGTTTTCAAATACTATTTATTAAAAAATATATATGAGTGCACTTTCATTCGCTTTATAAAAAAAAGTTAATTTTTTTTTTTTTTTTTTGTAAACTTAAATAATCATATTTTTTAACAGAATTACATTATATATTTTTATTACATTTTTTATTAGCTTGAAGCAAACCCATATCAGTTTGCTTCAAGCTTGTAATATTTGCGTTTTTCAAGCAAAAAATCAATCTTTAAAACAAAATAAGATTAAAATATCATAAATAAAATCGAAATATCAAAAATAAAACTGAACTTTTTTTATTTATTATTAAATAGAAGTTTAAGTAAACTTTTTTTCATTGCTGTGAAATTTGTATAAATAAATATTCTTTTAATTGCAAGATAATAAATAAAAGCTTTTCATTACCAATATTTTATGGATTTTGGTTACACTTTATTTGATAACTTCGTACACAAACAAAAAAACAAAAAAATTGTTGTTAACTACTAAACTAAATATTTCAATAAAAAAGGTTAGCTTAATAAAAATTAATTTTTACTTTGTTTTCAATTTTATCTAAATTTATTTCATTTGTAAATGTAAATAGCACTTATATTCAACATAATTGTCATTCAAACTTTTGTAACAAATTTTCTTACAGAATCATCATCAAAAGGTTAAGAGTTCATCCATAGATTACATTTTTTGACTCCCTCCCCTTCCCTCATAATGCATTGTAAAATTTTATTGTACCTTCCCCCAATATTATCCAACATTTTTTTAACCCTCCCCCCATAAAACATTTTCTTAAACAATTTTAAATACAATAATGTCTATAATTTTCTGCGCTTGTTTGAGTTAATTAATTAGTACTTTTCAGTCATTTTTTTTTTCACCCCAATACTTCCGTGTAAAATTGCATAAATTATTACACGGAAGTATTGGGAATAACAAACATGATCCCAATTATTAAAATTGGGATCATGTTTGTTATTCTAAACATGATCCCAATTTTAAATAGCTATTCTTCCAATAACACATGCACAAATAATATTTTATAAATATAATTTTCTCACAACTAGCACTGTTAGTGTGACTGAAAAGATTTTGCTTCAGGCTAGTAAACCAAAGGTATGAAGTTCATATCTTGG